AGTGTACCTCTGGTGCAAATTACTGACCTCTGTCATCATTTTAGGTGGGGGAACTTGCACAATCGGTGGCTGACTAAATACTTTTTTGCCCCACTGTATACACCGTTCAATAGCTGACCTTAATCAGAGAATGATCAAAGCTCATGTAGAAACAAATGAACAAAAGATTTTCTCCTTCATTTCTGTCAAACAAAGCTGTATGACGTTTCCAGCTGTTAGTATCATGGTTGCTAGGCAACCTGGGCAGTGCAACGGAGGCTAAACCGTCCCATTTCACAAGCCTCGCACTTCCGGCCTTAGCGGTCTTTGAGTACGCGGCCCTTGAGGATCGTTGAGGCTGCGTGCTTTAAGGCTGCAGACCCTGAATTGGGATACAGCCTCTATGTTGCAGGGCGCATTTTGTGAATCGGTCGGAAGCGGATGCCAGTCCAGCACAGCACTTCCTGAGACAATAGTTGCTAAAATGGGATTGGTGAAAAGGCTAAAGCGCGAGGTGTCAGGTAAAGGTGATGAGTGTCTCAGCACATACAACGGCATAGAATTAAATTATGTTAAAGGATCCACCAGCTCATTCACGTTTGATTTGTGTGACGTCATTAAGTGTGCAGGAGCTAGTAGCAGCTGGAGAGCATATGATGTGTGGGTCTGAAATCACCCTATGATATGCTCCAGTCATGTTTATTGGAGCCCCTCCTGGGGCAAACACATCCAATACATACACAGCAGGTCAGTGGTGCTCCTGGGAAAATGTGGTAGGTTGGACAGGAGTAGGATGGCAGTCACATGTCCCGGAAAGCCTGCAAGGAATAGTAATTCAAAGGGTTTATTCTGTTTTTCATAACCCTGTCACCATCTTCTTAGGTCCATGGAATATACTGCCTAAAGCCGAGAGCCCGGGAGGCGTATTCTATCTGGTAATCGGGGTGGACGTGTCAGGAACAGATTCGTTTGGGGTAATTAGGGTACACTTAGTTTACCCCAAAGCCTGAGTCGCACTTAAAAACTCAATGACAAATCTAACTGATAAACTAATAATCTCGGCACCAAACACGATAGGGCAAGCGGAGAATGCCAATTCATTTATGCCAAAACAAGATAACTATACATGTTTCAAGTTTTTTAAAGATAATGTAAAGTACCAGGTGGGAGAAATCGACCCTACTTGGTGTGCCGTCACACCCACCGGAAGAACCACGAATAATGTGAGTGACCCGAGCACATTAATTGGAACATGGGCAAGAAGTGGGTTGTATTATTATTGTGGGCAAAGCACCCTTTTGGTTCGTGTCCATCCCTAGTCCTGGGTGGCATCCGTGTTTGGACGGTGGAAAGGTTTGGCTATGTCAGCAATGGTTTCATTCGCTACACTTTTAGGGATACTGGTCACCTGTGGTTGTTGTGTCATTCCTTGTGTCAGAGGATTGTTGGTAAAGGTAGTGGCAAGGGCAGTGGACCCCGGAGCGGTCGTTCCGGTGTTCCAGTGTCCATTGAGGAACTTAGATGCCATAGAGTGGGCTGAGGAGTGATACAACACGAGGTGTGGTGACATTCCTTTTGGAATGTCAAAAGAGGGAATGTGGAGATACAGAAATTCTTTCATTGCTGCCATATAATCTGCATCATTATAATTGCATTAATAACATTCTTTACAGCATTATTTCATTTAATAAAATTTCTTACAGTATTGATATTGCATTTGAGGATCCTTTTATTATGTTTACTTTTATTACAGGTACAGCCAGAAGTATTTTATACACATTGCATAAATATTTGTGCTCATTCAGAGTTGTTGCATTAGTCTACAGAGGGTCTCAAGCTCTGTCTGGCGCGAGTCCAGACAGGTGAAAGGATTAGTGCATAAAAGGATAACTGCAATGCATGCTTATAGTACATATAATACATATAATCTAGGAATGTATCCGGCCTGAGGCCTTAACTCATTTGGCGTCTTACTTACTATACTATACTATATATACAGACGATCAGAGTCAATAATTAGCCTCAGAGACCCTGAGGGCTTGAAGTTTATTACCTTGTTTGGAAGGTGTTATAGAAAAGAGAAGTCCTATGTCTGCTTATAGCTATTAAAAATGTAATTTAACTGTGACTAATGCCTGGAACCTATTTTAGTCTGCAATTGACGCCATGGCGGGGGCGTGTACCCCACTGCTTTATAAGTATCCACAACATGTATTTTGGTCAGAGGACATATGCTGCTGATGTTTTCTCCTGTGTGTTAATACAGGAAAAGTTTGATTGCACTTTTCTGGGGCTTCCGTGGTTTGTGACACTGCTCTACATTGATCGATTTTGCGTCTTTCATGTCCTCTTTAATGAAGCAGGTTGAGATTTCTTTAGACTGGCATATGTTACATTTGTCCTAATCTTTATTACTGGATAACTGAGAACTGACACGGGTGGCATAAAGCAATAAAATCTGGAGAACACAATTGCCAAATATTTGGTATTATTTTTGTATTTTGCTGTGTGCACAGAACGGAAGCCACGCGTGTGCTGCGTGGGACTCCTCCCACCCCACCCAAAAAAACAAGAAAAAAAAAGAAATAAGAAAGATTACAACTGTAATAGACAAAAAAAGAAGAAGCTTAGATCCCTACTCTTCGTTTTTTTATGTTTATGCAAAATTAGAACATTTTAAATGACGCAAACAGTCACGGTCTGTTTGCTGGTATGCGTAAATCACACTATCGCTGTCTTTCTAACTCTCGTTTCTCCCTAAGTTTCCTTTTCTTTCCTCTTCTTCTAAAACAGATCCGTTGCTGCGCCTTCTCATGGGTCAAAGCATGTGTCACTCACGTGGTTTGCCCAATGAGAAGACCGAGCGAGGACGAAGAGGCGGAGCGTGACGCAGATCGAGTTTTGGAAAACCACACGCAGCACCGTTCAAGATTTAGTTGTTTCGTTTCCCACCTGCTGAGCTGACCGATCAGGCAGACAAACATCGATAAAGGTATTGATCGATTGGTTTGGGAAATGATTTCTGTGATCTATTTGAAATCAAAAAAACTACTAAACCTTTTAAACGCAATACTGGCTGCTTAATGCGCATTAACGGATTAAATAGAGTGAAATAGTAGAAACTAACACAGCAGCACAGAAAACGTTTGTATTGTATTTTTAAATGCGCATAATCTGCCAGGCCTGCTCGGAGTGGTGAGGGAATTCTGCTTTTTGCACTTTACAGACTTTCACCGTGTGTCCAGCTCAACGATCCGCTGATCATCATCATCATGGCTCTGGATGGATGTGGCTTGTTCTGCAAATATATCCTCATCATTTTCAACATCATCTTCGCGGTAAGTCCGGCTCGATTTTAATACTGCGTGGTTAATTACGGGAGGGTAGAGGGAAAGGCCAAGCATGGCTTTCGTTTTCTTTCGCCTGTTTTGTGATCAATTCTTGAGATAAACGGGCAGAAAAAAGGCGTTTGTTTTTTTACATGAAGGATTAAAAGTTGTAATTTTGCGATGAAACAGGGGTGTTGTGCCAAAAAGTGGTTTCTGGTATTTGCCAAACAATTTGAACTTCTATTAATGAACTGTTGGACTCTAATCTGTAAAACATATTTCAAGTTGCAATAAATACAACAATAGTTCTCCAAAGATATTACAGGTGGTCTGGACTGGAATGGTTACAATGTGGGTACAATAAAAGAGTCTTACAGATACTTACAAAACAGGTCATTTATTTTATTTATAATCCCATAAATCACATTGGCTACAGTTAGTTTACCGATATAAGCAAAGACATTACACAAAATTTAAAAAAACAACCCACGTAGAAACGTAGACTGTTTTGCACACGATCACTTTTTGGAACACCACCAGGTTTCCTTGTGGTTTCGTTTCTTAGTATACCAAGAGAGGTTACTTTCATTTTCAGGAATCACCATTACCATCAGTATAAACTGTGTGCTTGGCACATCTATAAGCTGAAAGGAACCCAACAGTATTTTATTTTTGAAATATATATGTGTGTGTGTGTGTGTGTGT